TTCAAATTTAGTGGATAACAATTGTAAAAAATGAGTGAAAACAATCCCACGGACAATGCGACGGATTTAAGGTTATGTTAAGGTACGTCTCTTGTGAATATCAATTGATTGTTAGGTTTCTTCTTCTGAAATTACATTATGACGCATTCACATACATTATTAATACAAATACATTTTCCAGAGCGACATTATGATGCTACCACAAGCACTGGTTCAAGAGGTCCACGAGGGAAAAATGCACAATATTACCGTGATTACAGAGCACGGAAGCGAGCGGAGCAGGAAAAAGAGTCGTTGAATAGTGGTCCTTCTACGACTGCTGATTCTTCTACAATTAACGTAGCAGGTTGCGAAGTTTAACTTCTTACGCGCGGAGGGACTCCACGCACTACTTTTTTTCAATTAGTCGTGAATCGTGGCCTATGCGTTGCTCTGGTTTCTTCTCTCTTTCCGGTTATTTGATGGTGGGTTTTCAACTGTCTGTAAATGAGCCGAATCGCTCGAGTGCTTAAAAATAATTCTTAAGCAATCCTTAAAAAATTATACAGAAATCCTTGATAATTTTTAAAGACTATTAAAAATAAAAAAAATTTTTAGATTAATTATTATTTCGATACCACTTTAAATATTCTGGGAAGGTAGATCTTACGGATTTTCATGCGTGTGTACATTAAATGTTATAAAACAAAAATTATTTCTAGTATTTATTACTATAATGTAAAAAGTATTAACCAGTAAAGGTTTCTAGGGAAGAAAATTGCTGATTATGAAAAAATTTAGAATCTTCTTTTAATAAATCTGTATGATTTGGTGATTTTTGTGGTCTTCATTTATAGTCACACACATTTTAGTTAGACTTGTGTGATATTTGAATATTGCCTTAGTTTTAATTCTTCTGAAACAGTTTCTTTTCTCTCTCTCTTTTCATTTTTCAGGTAAACGAGCCTGCATAGGAGAAGGATTCGCTATGGCTCAAGTGTTTCTCTTTCTGGCTACAATCATTCAGAATTTTCAACTCAGCAATCCAAAACAACACGAAAAAGTTCCCCTTTTTGAACTGATTATGAGTGGAAAAGTGGAGATATGCGCTACACCTAGAAATGAAGCAGAAATTCATGAAAAATAAGACGGTGTGAAATGAGACTATAAAGATCTAATATAAATGCTTTTATGTTAAAAATAAAGATTTCAGAACTAGTTTAGATTATTTGACAGCAAGGAATGAAGTCACGTGGTCTAACTTTCCAGAATCTTTTAAGAACCAGATTTTGTATTTAGAAATAAGAAGGAAATTATATCATTTCTTTTTTAATTGCAATCGAAATTTAAATTTTTTTAATCGAATAAATGTAACTGTCAGAGATTTTAGAGCGCGTTGAATCATAACATTGTTAAAATATACTGCACTCACCAGTTAAGCACGTTTAAAGTGTGTCAAACGTTGGACAGCGAAAAATTTCAATAAATTACAATAAGAATTTCATGTAGTGGTATGTTTTCTTCCACATTAGCAGATGGAAGCTCGCTTTCTGTTTCCAACTACATGTGTAAGCCATGACTTGGACGGCGGGCGTTGGTTTTCTTAAACAATTGTGAAAATAATTATCATTCAGAGTTCTAAACATTCTTGAACTGAATATAAAAATCTGAAGCATTTGATCAAAAAGATCTTTTCCACGCTTTCGAAGCAATCATCGAAAGGAAGAAAACCATTTCGTACACTCCCATGTCAAATTGTTAAAAAAAAATTTAGCAAATTTTTTGTTATGTTTACAATGGAACCATTCGTCCTGCTTTCCATTACTTGATTCTCCGTGAAAATTCTACTTTAAAATAGAATAGAATTTCAAAATTCTTTTGAAAATTCTATTTTCAAAATACACTATTCTATGACAACTTACAATCCCTACGAATTTTACATTTATCAAACAAAAACTTGTTTCTCAACCCATCAAAATACAATATTTTAATGCTAAATTGTAAGGGAGAAAAAAAGTCTGTTATAAAGAATGAAATGCAGGTTGCATACGTTAGGAATTTATCGGTGAATTTTTTTTTCAATTTTTCGTCATTTGATTTTGAGAAGAGCGTGATTCATAAAGAATTATAATACTACACTATAAATCAAGAACAATGTAAGATATTATTTATGTTACCAGAAGTAAAATTGTATGGAATTATTTTAAGTTTAGTTCGGGACAGACGTTCTATGTATGTTCCCTTAGTCCAGTGGTCGGCAAAGTGCGGCTCCAGATTCGCTAGTGGATCTTTGGCTTTCGGCGTACTCCGGTGTGATACGAAGGTACCACAAGCATGCGCACCCTAGTTTTCTAAAGTAGTGGGGGTACAAATTGGCATCACAGACCAGCAGTTGCAGTGTGAACAGTTTTGTCTTATCTACCTGGTCTGCCTTTGTCCAGTCTTATTAAAAAGTTGTTGTATTTTTCAATCTAGCTGCACATCTTACAGGTATTTTTATACGATTTTATTACACCTGCTATTTATGTTTGTGGTTCCTGTACAAAATTTGTAATTGATTTTTCGATAACTTCTATTTGTTCAAATGTTGGAAGTTTTCTTCCGATGCTTTGCATTGCGTTGATATAAATAGAACCGACTTCTGAATGCAGTAAAATTACCTTGAAAGTGTTTGCGAATGTATTACGGAGGGGGAGGGGAGGGGAATGGGAAAGGAATGTGTTGGAAAAGTGATATCATCGTATTTTTTGCTTGTGTGTTTCTTTTTGAGTAAAGTCGGGGTTATTCTTCTCGCTTTAATTTCTCGTGTGTATTCATCGTGAATCCCGCTATCAGTGCTATGAATGTGATGTTGGTTTATGTGTCCAACCATGTTTCAGGATTAATCATACAACAGCTAAGTTTCAACATATTTTATATTGTATTTTTTTTCGTTAATTTAAGTTTTGTATTTTCTATTTTGCCTTTTTCTTCTCTTGTGAAAGTAAACTGTTTTTAAATTGCAACGCGTGCATCGTTTTCCCCCACCAAAACACCGCATAACAAAGCGCACTTGAGCGAAACACGGTTGCACTGGGGAGTGAATCACGTAAATTTTACTCGGCACGTAAGGGTTAATAAAATTGTATTTTTTAGAAAGAGTTTTTTTAAATTTTTATTTTCATCAATTTAATAATTCTATCCAGAAGGGGCGTTTACTATCCAGAACTAACAGACGATCAGTGGATCAAAAACTTTTTTTTCATGGTAGATGTTACGTCTCATCTAAATCAGCTTAATCGTAAACTACAAGGGAAAGGAAACTCAATTTTTTTCGATGTTAGAAGAAGTAATAACATTCGAAAACAAATTATCCATTTTTGCTCAGGATTTTGAAAGGAAAACATTGCTTCACTTTCCGCCTGCTATCAGCCTGCTGAAGCATCGCCAAGAAAATAATTCCTCTATTGATAAACACCATTTCAAAACAATAATTTTAAATATGAGGGAAGCATTTCTCATCAGGTTTCAGGAATTTAAAAGCAGCAGAGCAACTATAGCATTTGTCAAAAATCCTCTTAATGTTAAGATAATCGAGTTGAAATTTTCTCCTTTTGAAATTGACATTGGTAGCTTTGAAATACAATTGCTGGATTTAAAAAACAAGGAGATATGGTGCTCCAAATTCGAACGTCTTTGTGTTGAATTGGAAATATTGGAGAAGAAAAAATTTGATCTTAGTTCACAACACNAGCTTAATCGTGAACTACAAGGGAAAGGAAACTCAATTTTTTTCGATGTTAGAAGAAGTAATAACATTCGAAAACAAATTATCCATTTTTGCTCAGGATTTTGAAAGGAAAACATTGCTTCACTTTCCGCCTGCTATCAGCCTGCTGAAGCATCGCCAAGAAAATAATTCCTCTATTGATAAACACCATTTTAAAACAATAATTTTAAATATGAGGGAAGCATTTCTCATCAGGTTTCAGGAATTTAAAAACAGCAGAGCAACTATAGCATTTGTCAAAAATCCTCTTAATGTTAAGATAATCGAGTTGAAATTTTCTCCTTTTGAAATTGACATTGGTAGCTTTGAAATACAATTGCTGGATTTAAAAAACAAGGAGATATGGTGCTCCAAATTCGAACGTCTTTGTGTTGAATTGGAAATATTGGAGAAGAAAAAATTTGATCTTAGTTCACAACACAAAGTGGTCTGCTTTGAATGACCTGGAGAAGGAAGACATGATCATTTTCAACGCTAGGAATAGTATTCCTGACTCTTACGATCAGCTGAAAAAGCTCGCATTTGTTTTCTTTCCCTTTTCGGTTCTACATATATATGTGAACAATCTTTTTCAAGCATGAACATTATCAAGAGTAAACTAAAAAGTCGTCTTATTGATGAGAACTTGGAATCATGCCTAAAATTCAAAACAGCAACATACAAATCTGACTTACTCAAACTTTCCAAGAAGATGCAAGCACATTGTTCGCATAATTAAATATTTATTAGTATGAAATTTAGTTTTATTTAGTGTACTAAAAGTTTACTAAATAAGCAGAGTTTGCTCCCAATTTTTTTTAAATTGTTGTAATGTTCATATTTGGCTCTTTGTCTAATACGTTTCCCGACAACTGCCTTAGTCACACGAGACTCATCTTGCTGGTAATCCATTTCCACCAAATACAGCGCGTTAATGTATCTGAATCAAATCAATCGTCAGTGGNACTAAACAAGCAGAGTTTGCTCCCAATTTTTTTAAAATTGTTGTAATGTTCATATTTGACTCTTTGGCTAATACGTTTCCCGACAACTGCCTTAGTCACACGAGACTCATCTTGCTGGTAATCCATTTCCACCAAATACAGTGCGTTAATGTATCTGAATCAAATCAATCGTCAGTGGCTGATAGGATACCCTCCTCGATAGATCAACCTTTTACGTAACTCCGCAGATGTTATTGGTTGGATCAAGACGTCTGGGTAAGAGGCATGTTGTAGTCCTCGGTTTGTCCAATTTATCGGTGATAGAGATAGTCATCAAGGTGATCTTGTACGCACGCTGCCCATCAATGTGGTGGTGCACCATCCAATTGCAGAATGAAGATGACTCAGTGGATGGAGCTGTCGCCTTCCAATGAGGTGAACCGGGTTTGAATCCCAGAGATGACGGGTCAATACCAATTCGGCATCCGGCTTGCAATGACCGTAAAATATCCTCAGTGGTAGACGGATCATGGGTGAGAGTCCCCTTGCCGTCAGACTAACCATGGGATGGTATAATGGTTTTCCTCTCCATGGAACGTAAATGTGGGTTAGTTCCATTAGAAAGTCCTCCACGAAAGCAAATTTTCTTCCAATACTTGATCCAGGAATTCCCTCGTCTTCTGGATTGAGTTCAAAACTACAAGGCAACATGAGTAGTTGTAAAACCAAAAAAGTGGGTCGGCTGTTCAATGACGGTTATAAAATAATAGACCCTGTATTTTCTTTCTATTGCTATCAATTTATGTCTATTAATATTAATGCAATTAATTAATTCTGAAAATGTACAAAACATATGATGACTTTTCAGTGCAAAATGTTTTTACATTTGTTATTCGAATTATAATGTAGTCTAAAAATAAATATAACTTGTAATATGTATGTAATTTGAAATATCTACTACTTCAGTGAGAATTTCATGGACGTAATTAAAAGTGAAGGATTTCATGAGATTAAAAATTCATCGAATGAGTATTCTGTGTATCTTAATCATGAATGTGACGAGAATAGCACGTGTTTATGGTGAATCCTTTAATTAGTATAATATGAGTAGTAATTCTGGAGCGTAAAAACAACAAGGAAATTTCTTTTACGAATATACTCAAAGCAATTGTTTCTTATTTACACATTCATTGTTCAACATTGTAAAAACATTCTCGCAATAGTTCGTTAATAGGTGAAGGAGTTCAAGGCTTCACAATGTCTTGATATTGGCAATGTGAACATTGCCTTTATTTCTCAAACAAATACATTCACCAATTTGAAGCTGGGCGAACTTCAATTCGGCAGCACTTTCGAACCCCAATGCTACATTCAATACTATTGTATACAATGCAATGTAAGAAGTATTTGGCATTGTGTACAAGCGCTAGTCAATGTGTGAAATGTTTTATCAACTCATATCGGTAACTTATGTATACTAAAGTAAATCTCCTTTTACATTTGTATAGTAAACTAAAACGTATACCTTAATTTACATGTGTATTTGAAGAATAAGCTTATTTTACAAATAACTGCTTGGGGATTTTTATAAACAAAAGGGCCCAACAAAAGATAAGAATTTTAAAAACTGGAAAAATTATCATTCGATAAAAATAAAGCTTTGTTTACAATTGTAAGTTAAGACATTTTCATAAACACATTTTTTCCATTATTTCAGTTATCAGCAATGAAAGAAAATTATCAGACAAAAGAAAAATATTACATAAGTGAAAATCGTTGAAAAAGGATAATAATTCTAACTGATAATTTACTGTAAATAAGTATTTTTAACACAACTGCTCAACTTTTAATGACATTAGTTCTTATTAATTTCAGAATTGGACTATTATTTTAATAAGTTATTCAACTACTTTTTCGTTCTCCTTCATTTGAAGTTCTTTTTATACATACCTCTACAGGTATATAGAAGCATTTAAGCAGATTTCATAAAGCAACGAGTAAGTTTATAACTTTTATTTTCACATAAATGCGTTCAATTTTCTCCTCCTCAAAAAGGAACAAAAAAAAAAACAAATTTTTTTCCGAAATAAAGCGGTTAAATAATTTTCAAGAAATAGAGCCAAAAAGGTTATTTGTATTATTTTTCAATTAACTAGGCAGTATTTTTAAAAGTTTATTTCTTGAAACTTTGCAATCGATTTCTTTAATTACAGGGTGATTTTTTTTTAATGTTGTGACATTAATGCCCTGTAACATAAAAATCCACTCATCCTGAGGAATTAAAAATTTGAACTGTTTGCTCCCAAAGCATTGGGGATTTTTCTAAGCTTGGCTTAAAACAGAAACTTAAAATCGCACCAATACATGGCGCTGTCTAGTAATGGGGCGGTTTAGTAAAATCGGAAGATGAGCTTACGCCTGCCATGATCAAATATGAGGTACGCGTGCTTCAAATTTTTTTCGTCAGTGCGCAAGAGTCATGTGCAAGCTCGTCTTCCGACTTTACTTCACTTATAGCGCCATCTATGGGTGATATTTTAAGTTCCTTTTTTAACCTGCCTAAAAGATTCCCATTTGGTAGCAAACAGTTGAAACTTTAATTCTTTTAGATTAGTGGTTCTTTTGATATGGTGCATTAATGTCACAACTTTAAAAGAAATTATTCTGTATTTTGACAGGTATAATTAAGCAGATTGAAATGATGTCTCATTACTTACTTTTCTAAAAATATGGCATTAATAGATTAAAATAACTCAGTTGGAAAATCCGGATAAAGTATCCTTTTGTTCATCTCTACGGTGCAACAGATCTTCACTTTTAAATTTGAGCCACGGTCTAACAAATGTGCTTACAAACTTACTTTAACAACCAAGTCCTTTTTGTATCAGAAACGATTTTAACTCTTAAATTTAAAACTTAATGAACATATATTTTTTCCACACTATATGTGCGTTACACATCTCAAGTCATTCTTCTCACAATGAATGTAACCATAGTATCTTATGCTTACAAGATTGTTTATTATTAAAAATTTTCATATGTTCTAATGCCTGGGATAGCCTGGTTGGTAGAGCACTGGACCCATGTCCAAGAGTTCGTGGGTTCGATCCCCACCGTAAGAAGACTCCCCGTGTAGTAAATGGTGACTGGTGCACGTTAAATCTGTCGAGTAGCAAAAGTCCGCCATGTTCCCATAACAAATCAATACCTCTGGGGGTACTGATCCAGGAGTTTCCTTGTCTTCTGGATCAGTTCAAAATTACAAGGCTACGGAGTTCAACATTAGTAGGCGTAAACCCATGAAATTGGGTCGGCTATTCAACGACGGATAAAATAAAAACATGTATGTTTATTTCTGTGAGATTGTGGCAAAAACGAGACTTAAACTTAGGAGTTTCTCATCTTGTTCCGGATGCTCAACGTATCACTGAGTGGGGGGCCACTTTTATACATTTGACTTCACACGACTGCCTCCATTTCTATCGTTTTAGTATTTTCAATTTTTATGTGTACTCAAGGTACTGCTTACACTGGAGAATGCATTTCTATTATTTTAACTATTTTGCGTAAAAGTATGGAGAGCTAGCTCATGACCTTAAGAGTCAACAGGGTGACACTTGATTAAAAAACCTATCGAATTTCTATATACTACTGGATATTATGTGGACAATTATTTTACTGGAGACGTGACGTTACAGTGACACAATCGTGAATTGACCTGACCAGTCTGTTTGGCGCTTTCCTATACCATGCGCATATTCTCGCCATTTTTTTCAACTCTGATTGTCTTTTATTTTGTATTATTCATGCTGTCATTCAAGTTAATTCAATAGATTCTAAAGACGACATGCTGCTAAGAAAGGCCAGTCAAATTTTGAAGAAAAAAATCTTTTTGTCCACACAACCAGCCATATTTAACAATTATATGAATTATAAAATGCAAAACAGATGATTTCAGATTGATTCTTATCAAATTCTTTGCATTTTATAGTAAAGTTTGGGAGAAGTTACTTTGCATGGAATCATTGGATTATTAAAAAAAATCAGTATGAACAGAAGGAAACAGGCTCATCGTGCTATAAATCCAACTCAGAATATTATTTCTTTTTGTATTAGAAGAAGAAAACAGCTCTTTCGTTGGTGCTCTTGTTTGTTCTTTCTTTGATTGTGTCTTCAGAATTAAGAAACTAATAATTAACTGATTTGCTATCAGATATACTATCTTCGTCAAGTAGATTCTAATGCATATTGTCATGAAACATTATCTTGTTTTATGAAAATTCCTTGGACTCAAATCAGTTGAAAAATATTTTTCTCTCCGTTAAATACTTTAAGATAAAATTTCTACAATAAATATATGCGGGAGAAATTAGTATTAATCATAATAATTACAAATATCAATCACAATAAAAATTAGAATTATGTTAACTTTTTTTAATTATATTAGTTTATGACTTTTTGTTTTCTATACAATTGTGTAGTGACGATTCATACGGCTTTATTTATTTTTAATAACCATTACAAAGAACAAGTATTCAAACTGTAAAAATTAAATTTATTTTCTTAGTTATCAAAAAAAAATCTTTAAGTAATAAATAAACTGAAACTTTATTTGCAGATGGAGTTTTTTAAAGCAGTAATAACAGACATTTTCCAAAATTACTCGAGTAACCTGGTAATAGGAGGAACTCTTGTATTTTTATTATTGGTATCTCTCCTAATATTTAGAGATCGAGGGTTGCCGCCTGGACCCACGGGAATACCTTTCTTAGGGTACTGGCCCTTTTTAGACGATGAAAATATCCACCTTCAAGAAGTGGCTTGGAAGAAGAAATACGGTGACGTTTTCAGTTTTCGTGTCACAGGAAAGCTGTACATAAATCTAGCAAGCTTTAAAAGACTGAGGGAGGCTCACATAACCAAGTCTGACTGTTTCAAGAAAAGAACATCAGAATATAATATCCTGGTCAGAATTTTCGGAGACGGTATGTAATAAAATTAGTGTGAATTAAAAAAAAACAGGGTTTCTCAGTTAAACGTTTCAGAACTTCTAAATTTCGAGACACTCGCTTAACAAAGTGAAGATTCCCCGGAAAAACACTCGGATTTATTTATTTTTTTTGCTCAACGTCCTTTACTGCTGTAAGAAAACATGTCTGACCCTGCATTGATATGTGATTTCAAGTTGTCCGGATACACCCTCTTAGAAGTTTCAAAACTTTTGACTGAGAAACCTTACATGATTTTATAATCGTCGTTGAACAGCTGACCCAAATTTAGCGACTTCTAATGTTCAACTCCGTATCATTGTCATTTTGATACAATCCCAATCCAGAAGAATTCTGGATCAAGTATTCGGAGAAATTTGCCTTCGTTGAGGAATTTTTGATGGAACTAACTCGCATTTGCGTAACATGAAGAGGGAAACCACGGAGACCAACCATGGTTAGCCTGACGGCAAAGAGACTTCAACCCCTAATCCATGTAAACCTGAGGATGACACTGCGTTCGGTGCGAACCGGTGTCAAATTCGTATCCCCCAGCCATCGCTGGGATTCGAATCCAAGCCATCTCGTTGGTAGACAAACGCTCTGTCTCCTGAACCACCACAGCTCACCTTGCCTGACTGGCAGAATGTTGTGATGACTTTCAAGTGAAAAATAAACAATATGAAAATAACATTATGATTAATGCAGTCTTTTATTTCATCATAGCAGCATTTTAGATTAATAACCACTGTGGTATTCTATATGCGCTTTCATTTGCAATTTTGTAATTGTTTATTGTTCTTTTATTTCTAAGTAATTAAGTGCCTCAAAAATACGTTCCTTTGAAATAGCATCAATATTTCACGAGTCTGCATTCGCATGAGACCGAAGTGATTCTTTATCTATTTTTCGCAATGGTTAGTTTATATATACTTTATTTTATATGCGTAATTTCTATTAAAGCTCAGTTGCATCCTCATTGCATCCATTGACGGACCCTCGAAGATGCGTAAGATTCTAAACTAACGTTAAAAGTAGCTGCCAGGAATCGCTACAAACTATTGTTCTTTTTTTTTTTTGTATCGCACTACTCACTACGCTACTTTAAAAAAAAAAAAAAAGAATAGCGCACTACACTACAAACTGCAAAAAAGTAGCAACTATAGTAGTTTCACTACTTGAAGTACGCTACTCGTCTGTAGAATACATTTTAGAGCTGTTCCTGTGAACGAGGGAATTAAATACCATTACTATTTACATCCCATACCTATGTTCGATCAGGATTTTTTAAAAATTTGAAAAGGATATTGTTTAGCGTGCACCCTATGATCAATAACTATGTAAATAGTTATTGAACATTGAACTAACATAGATATTTGTTCTAATTCAAACAGGTATTACTTTTTCTGAGGGTGAGAAGTGGCGGACAGTTCGCAAGTACTTCACTTCAGAATTCAGAGAGAGGGGATTGACCGTTTTCAATGAAAACACAGCAGGAGTAATGGATGAAGCGGTCAGCTGTTTCATAAAGGAACTGAGAGAAGGATCGAACAAACCAGTCGATGTGATGCGACTGCTCACTCACAAATGCAATCACATCATCCGTCAGACTTTATTCGGTCTCAACACCACAGTCTCGGAAACAGATATCAACAAAATCCTGGAAGACTACAAAATAGTGACCTCGCTGTTTCATACATCCAGCATGCTGCTGCACGGAAAACTCGCTAAGTATGGATAAAAGAGACTCCATCACCTAGATGTTTTTTTTTTAATGTTAGGGACGTATAAAGTTAGTATAACGGTTGAAAACCAAGTTAAGAGATCATTCCACGTTCCCATTGCAGAGCTTTTCTCAGGTATTACATCATCCAGTTTCAATTTTTAAAAAAAATACAGATGGTGGAAAAAGCAATTTCAAGCAATTAAAGGAGGGCTCTGTGTTTTCAATTAACAATTTCAATTGCTGTAGAAAAGAGTAAAAAAATATGTTACAATCAATGGACAATATCGAGAGTGATTAAATTTGATCGTGAAACAGGTGGGGTAGTAATCTTTAACAAATAGAATAGGCTTCTCAAGATTATGTAATTTTCCCTCTCCGTTACCGTGACATCCGCAAATCTCGTCCCCCCCCCCCATGCCAATACGTCTTAGTAAGAATCGGATTCAGAAATAAGATATCGATAATCTAACTGCAGCTTGAAAGGTTACAGCTGAAACATGCAGTGTGAATAAAAAGGATGACTTTGCTACTTATCACGTCGTTGCTAAGGGGATGAAGGTGAAAAATTTGAATATGAATTTTAATCATAAGGAGTATTGGAGAACTGATGAAAGAGGGTTAAGACAACATCTAGAATCGCAACCGCCTGCGACATTAAAATACTGTCTTACATTATGACTAGAACAATGCATGGGTAATCAAAACACATACTTATGAAAAATAATACTTCATCCTTTTTATGCTTGCGATGTAGTTTATTTATGTTTGCCCACAACTATGTCAAGTGAAAATAAAATTATTGGATAACTTAGTCACACAATAAAACCAAAAGGAAACTATATATAGTTGTATTATATTGCTTGGTTGTAAAGTGTGCAAACACAGACCACCCTGAATAGCTTTTGATCTAATGATCCGACCTTCACGTTTTATGACTCAATCTTAAGGGTTCGCGGGGGTGGGGGGGACCTCAAATATGCTAATTAACTACCCTAGACGATATTTTAAGTTAAGAAATTATACGTACTTTCTCTGAATAAACATACCTTTTTATTCAACGAATTCGGATTTCTAACCCCCAAGATGTCACTCTGAGTAAATATTTATTATCCGTCATCATTTTGCTTAATAACAGTCAAAAAAAAATTTTAATCGTAAAATTAGCAATTTTTTTACTTTATTTTGAAGATTGTCATTTTAAATGGCAAAATACAAAATTTGAGCGAAATGGATTGAATAGCTCCTAAGAAATCGAATTTTAAAGATGTAATATTCTTTAAATTTGATTTTCCAGGGACAGTCTGACCGATTTCGCTCAAATGTTATATTTTGCAATTTAAAATTTCCTTCTTTACAATGATGTAAAAAATTGTATACCTTTACGATACAAAAAATTTTCAACTCTCATTGAATAAAATAATAAAAAATGATAAATATTTTCTAAAAGCATCTTGCATTTTATCTTCGGATAAATGAGCTTTATAATTCTGTGCAAAAATTTTTCAATTCGCTTAAAAAGTTCTTAAGATATGGCGAAATGCGTAAAAAGTAAAATTGACATTAAGGGGTCTAAACTTTGGACCGCTCTTCTAACCAAACTATTAGGATTCTATTTCTCAGATTGCGGCTACCCCCTATATTTTGGGGGTCAGAAATCCAAATCCGTCAAGAAAAAAGGTATGTTTATTCAGAGAAATTACGTTTTTGTATCTGATTTCGTAACCTAAAATACTCTCTGCGCTATGTATTTAGCATATTTGATTTCAACCTTTCGAACTATAGAGATAGAGTACTAGAACGAGAAGATGCGATCATTAGATCAAAAGCTATTTAGGGTGATCCGTTTTTTATTTTGCGCATTGTACTCGTAACGCTCATGAGTTTTATGTTTTATTTGCGATCTCGCCTTTCTTACTCTCTTATTTATTTTCATGGTTTCACTTTACTTTTTTCATTATTGTATTTATTTACTTCGTTTCAAACGTGTTCTTTTATTCTTAGGAGTTATTTTGCTTGTTTCTTTATTTGTTGTGTTATCCATCATTAATTTTTTTTTCTTTACACTTTACTATTCTAATGTGTTGGTTTATTCATTTATTTTAATTATTTTTTCATTCAATTATTAAATTTATCATTTAATTGTTCATTATTCATTTAATCACTCAGTTTTCATGTTCATATTAATATTAAGGAAAGATTTGTGTTGTATTGAAAATATTCATGGAATAATTAAGTAATATGATATTCAAAAATTTTATTTTCAATTATTTATGTATTACCAAAATCCCTGATAAATCTAATATTTTTAAAGAAATAAAAACTATATACCATAAATATTCATGGTGCTTAATGTACTAACATTTTACAACTAAAGTAATAAGATTTTTTCGATACATTTTTAATGCTTTCTTTTTTGTTATCTTCATGGCTGATATTTTATTCAATAGTTTGCATTTTTCAAATTAATTGTTTTGTCTTTCATAAAGCCTATGAATTTGTTCAAGCTGTAATAAATTTGATGCATACAAACACAATATTCATTTCCGCCACTAAAATTCTCTATACATTTATGAATGAGCCGATCAGCATAAGTCTTAAACTGGATTTGACCTGTTTCAACTAAACGCGTTTTTTAAAAAAAACAAAAACAAAAACAAAAAAAAAAAAAATTCAGCTAGCTTCCACCGTTACTTGAAAGTATTACTGAAATAATTATCACTGTTTTTTAAAATCAAAATACCAAAAGAAAATACTAATATAACCCCAACTAAATTCACATTGATGCTATGGAGGAAGTAAAAAATAGGAAAGTAAAAACGATACTAAATACTTTTCTTTTTGAACAGAGAGAAAATATATGAAAATTTTCCAAAAAATTATCTATGCTTTCTTTAGGGTTTAAGTTACACGTCTAAATAGAAGCTGTTTTTTTTGCCCTAGATATTTAATCGCTCCTCTTCACCCCCGCTACAAAAAAGTTCTGGAAGTGCATGCAAACGTGACAGAAAGATTGCAAAAAATGATCGACGATCACAAGCGGACATTTCATAGTGAGAATGTACGAGACATTATCGACGCCTACAATCTGGAAAGAATCACCAGAAAATCAAATGGTGACCCTACCTACGAATACTTTTCAGGTAAATATGATTCAATATTGAGTAGGATAATCAAGTATCATCTGACATAATCACCAAACTAACAAAATGCTGCCCTACATCAAAATATTCGATTGTATTCTGTTTAAAATTCGGCTGTTTGAAAATGTCGTCAACTTTTCGCTAAAGTCTCCAGTATTTTTTAATCTGCCTGATATATTTAAACTTATTAAAATCGCTTATTTCAATAGAACTGCAATAATTTAGCATAACTGAAAAATGTTATTCTTTCTAATTTGCCTAAAGGTATGTGAGCTCACTGCATTGAGCCTAAAAAATTTCAAGCTGATTCAAGAAAATTCGAGATATTTTTCCAATTAGGCAAGTGCATTTCCAAAGAACTGCCCCTGTTTGCAAAGAATTGGATTTTCAATCAACCTAAGACTAATATAATCTATATTTCTGGAATTGAATTAAAAGTATCATCTATTTCAAAAACTAAGCATTAGGCATTATTATCTTTTTTTTCTCCCCAGATGAAACGTTAGTGAGCAACCTCCTTATGTTTGTTGGTGACGGAGTGCTCAATGTTGCCACATTCTTAACAGTCATTCTCATGGCTCTGTTGGACCATCCCGAAGAGCAGGAAACAATCTACTGGGAGTTAGTGGAAGTGTGCGGAGAAGACAGAAATCCAATACTTGCAGACAAAAGCAAACTCAGATACTTCAACGCTTTCCTTCTGGAAGCCCAGCGAACGGCTAATTTATTTCCCCCTTTTCCAAGTTTAGAATGTACAAGTAAGTAAATATGCCTCCGATTAAATTCTTCTAATGTTCTATTTAAAACGGTTCATCATTAGATTATAATCTTATTCTCTAAACCTTAACAACACTCTTCTTAAAATAGCATCAGTTCTAACCAATCTTTGCTATTTCTGCAATAGTTTCTGTCTGAAATCTAACTGATTTTAACAAAAATAAATTTTATTTTGACGATTTCTTCAGAACTTGTAAATTTTTTTTCTGTACGACTTCTTAAAAATCGGACTTTGCGCATAGCACTCTTACGTGAGAGCGTCCACTGCCTTTCTCTATTACCTGAACGAACATATTTAGTTTTGCCACTGTAAGTTTTCTATCAGGAATGTACTGATATATGCTAAAAATTTGTTACCCTTGTTGCAGAAGAGACCACAATTGGAGGATACAGGATACCCAAGGGAGCCATCACCCTGACTAATGTTTACGCTATTCACAACGACTCCCAAGTTTACGAAAATCCTGAAAAATTTAATCCCTCAAGATTCCTCGCAACGGATGCCAAACCAAAAGAAGAACTACCCATAATATTTGGTGTAGGTGAGTACCATTCAACTACTAATTGCACTCGTAAACTTGTATTAAAACAGTATGACTGCTAATTTAGAATTGCCATGCCACTAAAGGCAGTGCACTGGTCATTTCATTTAATTCGTAAGTTTCTGAGTACTAAGCACACTTCCAAAATATAAATGCAATTGAGCAAGTCATGACGGAAATCGGTACTTGAACGCGTGACATTCGATTGCCTACGGCGATTCTGATGATCTGTATTTTCAAATTACCTTCATACTTTAAAATAGTGTCTTACTTTAACCTCATTTGTTTGAGGATATTTTATTATTCTTTTGCTATAAAAATTTGTCTTTATTATATAATACATAAGTAGAGCAAATGATATTTCTTTTACGTTGTGGGTGCCTTAGTGTAGTTGTTACTGCCCTTCTTTAAAAATAGTCTGGTATTTGTATACTATTCCTTATTATACTATTTGTATACTATTACAGTTTCTTTATAAAAAAAAGTTTTGCAAAACTCGCAGTTTCTTTAAAAAAATATTTTTTTGGATTTATAATAAACCTAGATTCCTAATAAGTTAGTTTTTCTACTCATAACGATTCCTTTTTTTCATTTTTAGGTAAAAGAGTCTGCTTAGGAGAGAGTTTTGTGTTGATGCAAGCCTTCGTATTTTTAGCAGCTATTGTTAAGAATTTCAAACTATCATACTCCATACCAAAGAACTATTTGGAAGTGACCACGACTAGGACTCTCGATGTGTGGGTCACTCCTAGAAAATGATCAAAAGCAAACTCATGAAATCGAATCTTACTAATGCGTGTTTGTAAAGATAAAGCATTAAACTTTCAGTCACCTACTTTGCTGGGAAATTATTACAGTATCAAATAAATAAAATAAAAAATGCAGCTTTAATAGACAATTCAAAAGAATTTTGAAAAATATCAAAGTATTTTATTCTTTCTTTTCTTTTCATAGTAAATCCTTTCAGGGTTATGTATTCACTCATCAATCCAGTCAAGTGTCGACTCTCATATCCATCACAAAGTGGGTAGATGAGTCATTTGATCAGCCTACGCAAGGACTGAGGGTGCGCGGTATCGGTCTTCGTTAAACTGTTCTACCGTAAAGTGTTCGACTTCACGTGCAGGTCGTCGGCTACCAAAGAAGGGGAGCCAGCCTTTTATTTGTAGTTCATTTACGTCGCACTAGTGCTGCACAATGGGCAATCTTAAAATAGAAGGTGAGAAAAATTTATGCACTGTAAAGTATGTTCACCACTTGCGATGCATTAGTTCTACAACTTCTTATATCGGGTCTCATTTTTTTATGCTTTTGATTAATCATAATATAGATAAATATATAACTGCAGTTTCCTAGAAAGAGTTTTACCACATGCATCTTAAGAAATTGAAAGTATGTTACAATTTGTCACATAATTTTATATTTCAAACTCGCAAGTTTAACGAAACAAATATTAAGTTCATAAATGATGCATTTTGTTAATGATGTGTTCCAGTTGATCAATAATATAAGCACACAACAACATGTGCAGTTAAGAAAACTTAGCATTCTACTCATTTTAATATTTTTTTTGCAATATTTTTACGTATTAAAAGATTTTAACGCCGCTATAACATCAATTCAATGAAGCTTTTTCACGTAATAAATAGCGTAATGTATCTTGACTGAAAGTTCTTTTTTCTTCGGGCAATTTAGGATAACACTCAATAATAATTCTGACATTTATTTCAGTGGTCAACAAATAAGATGGTCAAGTTGCAAAAGTTTCGCTCCTTTAATTATATAGGATTCATTTAGTTCTTGATAGCTGAAAAATACTAACTTGTAAACCTGCAAGGGTGGTGAACTTTACAGGTTTCACTTTATTAACTGTATGAAACGCAACACTTATAATCTATTGCTGCCCACGAATTTCATTCAAAGGCAACACATGTTTAATTTTTAGATTAAATATAGTTTTAAATGTGTGCTTTGAATATATGTCAGTGCTTGGTAGCAACGTTTTTTTTAAATTAGTTTTTAGCTAAAAAGCAAAATGATAACAAAGGAAAAAAATATTTTTTATCTTTGTGCCAATCAAAAAAAAATTTTTAAACTAAAGATACAGATTAGATTGAATTTAAGATTAGAGTTTTGCAAAACTTTAGATAAGAAATAAGTATTACTTTAACACAATGGAAAAAATAGGCATTATGACATGAAAAATGGGGGCAATGCGTGCGTGTTTTTTTAAATATTATTTCATTGGATAGCAATCAACAATGGTACTCGCTCACCTTTTAAATAACTCACAGACTAATTACTAGATAACTTATATTCATATTTTGGCCACATGCCTCATAATGTGTTTTTTTTTATTTAGCTATTAAAATTTAATTTTTTTTTAAATTTATACCATTTAAATGTGAAAACTTATATGAATAAAGTGATTTCGAATAAAATGACTTCGACTAAATATTTAGTACAGGAAGTAGTATTTAAAGTCAGTGCTTCTCAACACTATACTCTCGAAAGACCTGTAAAATATTTCATCATTGTTATCCATCATAGTTATTCAGACTATTGGCGAAACAATTTTTTGACCAGTTTGTTCTTGATCATTCATAAACTCGCAACAACGAAAAATAGTTCGAATCTGAGTCTATTTAAATATAAATAAAATTTTTGTTAATTTTAATGCAAATATTAATTTTTCTATTTTAATCAATAATTAGCGGAACCAAATTATGAAACTACTAGGTAGCAAAATAAGACAAGTAAAGAAGGATTTTTCCACTCCACCCTAAATTTGGGTATTCGGTCGTCACGATAGAACCCAGCCCAGTTCGAGGGCCAAGCAATACGAGGGCAAGGCTCCGAGTCACTCAAGATTAATAGCACCATTCGACAGCAAGGAGATGGACCGCAGCAAAGGCAACGAGTCCAAAACCTGCCGAGCTGCGGTGTCGCCATTAGGCTTACAAATCGATGTTGTTAGGTTAGCTCCAATAATCGGTCCTCCTCAGGATGGCTCGCTTCTGTGACGTTTCTACTGAGTTCGGTCCTCATGGATGTTCCTCTCTTTAACGCACTTAAGGTTTTGCCCTTTGCAGGTGACCGGCCTCATCACATTTAGAGAAAGTTTCCTTGTTCTTTGACCCTGTGCCCGAGTCTGAGCGGTCTTAAGTACTCTTTTACTTTGTGGCTCTTTCAAAAATAAGACAAGTAAGCACGAAATAAATAAAAAAGGATATAACAATAAGAAATAACGGAAGCGATTGAATTGAATGTGTTTGGTGTTGTTCGTAATTTAAAATATCGTCTGCACTAGTTAATTAGCATATCAGTCACCTCCTCGAACCATTAAAAATGAATCTTAAAACATGAAGTTCCGATCATAACTACAGAAGTAATTCAAAATGGTCCGTTATTTTTATTTATATACTTATTTATTTACTAATTTTTCTGCGCACATTTTTTTTTCTGAAGAATAATTTTGATCAAAAGTTAAAGCAAAAGCATTTGTGTGCTTCAAAGTTTACTTTTTCGAAACAATGTTTTCAGCATTTCGAATATCGCATAAAATATATAATAGTTGTTCTTTTTTATAAATTTGTACCAAGAATTTAATTTCTCTCTAAAGCATCTATCTTATTGTATTAGTTAAAAATATATTATTTTAAGTCTCAGATTTAGTTCTTTTATAAGTCTGATTGGAAAGAAAGCTTAGTTTGCTGTTCCGTATTACAAAAATAAAGTCTATCTTATACAGATCTACCCGTAAATAGTATTTGCGGATCTCTCGCTGAGAAACAATGGTTTAAGTAGAGCGACATTTTTTACTTAAGCAACTCCAGAGTGTCTGATTACACTTGTTTTCTACTGCACTTTATATCTTTAGAATCTCTTTTCTGAATCTTCTGGTGAGAAGTTCGTTTAGTTTTGTGGGTTGAAAAATTTTTTTAACATGAATTACCAAGATTGTAGAGAAATCAGTCATAAAAAATTTGGTCTCTACTGTGCATAGTTTATCCATAACAGGCAGAGAAGACATCAGGTTTCATTTTTATTTTATTTATTTGTGCGAGTTAAGATTCTTAACCTAGTCGCAAATATAAACAACACTGAGAAATGGATTGGAAGTTGGAAATGATCTGCGTTTTACATTTGCAAGCATCATGTGTACCCAAGAATTATCGTTAAACGAGGGTAAAAACCACGCAAACCAAAAAAGATAAAAATTCTATTCGTTTGTTAATAATACACACATTTTTCGCAGAACCAAATACTTCCAAGACTATGTGGTTTATGGGCATAAGACTATGCGTATAATATTGTGCATAATAAGACTATGCGCATATTAAGAAATGTTCCAATATGAACGAGAGTTAGAAGAAATTTTAATTTTTAAAACACTTATTAGAAAGCACGTCCTGACATCACAGATTATTCTTGATGGACTACGATTAATTTTAAAACCTGTGAGATTGCTAAAATACATTTATCAGTATGGGTGAAAATTTATAAGACTCCTTCATTCTATGTGCATTAAAAGCATAGTATTTTATATTAATAAAAGGAAGAGTTTGTTTGTCTCTAATAATTGCAGAACCTTCGAATTTTTTTGTATTTCCTCAAGAGCCCGTTGTGGGTATGGGGGTTTCACAATTTCATGTCTTGCTGCATGATTGTGGTCAGCGTTGTGGTTAGACAGTTTTTACTTCCTAGACAAGTTAGTACACATCGGACTGGGTAGGCATCAAGTCCCCACTGGACATTGAAATCTAGTTATTCACAGTGACAGTCCACTGAGTCATCGGGGCTCACCGTTTGTTCTATGACATCTATATGTCTATATTTGTTCTATACGTCTTTACGCATGTGCACACCTGGGCAGTGGCCGGCCGTCCCTGGCACTCAAGGGGTCCTTGAAAATCTTACCTTTTGCAGATTGTGTTTAGAGAATAAACGGCATTGCCTTATATATTTTTTAAAATATAAATACACTCTGTTTTATAAAGTGTGCATTTTTTTCTACAAATAATGATTGATTATCATGCAAGCACCAATAATTTGAATAGTTTATCCACAAGAAAACTTAAAAAGGGAACCGAAATCTATTTTTCAATGTTCCAATGAAAATTTTAGATACTAGGGCATTGAAAGACGTTTCAATAACTGTTTAGTTTGACAAAATAATTCATATCTTTTGAATTTATTTTAATTTGTTATACCTTTATGCTTATTAAATTTAATTTAATTATTTCAATTAATTTCCATGATTACGAAAATTATTTTATTATTTGAGGATTACAACTGGTTGGCAAATCATATTTTTTAAAACTTATATATAACTTAAAAATGTTTTTTTTTTTTTTTTGAGTTTTTGGGATGATCAAATCGTGTTTAAACTTGTTAAAATGATTGCATCATATCTTAAAAATGATTTATTTTACGTATGTGAAGTTTTTTAGTTCGTTTTTAAACATTATGATATGTTATAGGGGTCTAAAATATTTTTGTGGCAGGGGGCCCTGCATGCTTTTGCGACGGTTCCATGGTCTTGAAATATGACCATGGGAGGAGCAAATTTTTAATTTTTTCCCCACCTGCAATCACGCTTTTTTTTCTTTTTTTTCTGATACTATATATAGTAAAATTTTAAACCAGGAATCTAAATTCTTATCAAATGTCCTATATAAACACAATTTTACATAATTTATAAAAGTAATAAATATATAACATGTTAAATATTTTTTTTGTTTGGTCATTTTAAACTCAACAAATGCAATTACAGGATCAAATTAAGATGCAGTTTTCATTCTAGATAATATTTGTTTGGCAAAATTACCCCGATTGTCTAAGTAACTGTGCCCACCAGGTTTTCGAATCGTTTCTAAGAGAGAAATCATTGAGCAT